CTAGGAGACGAGGGGGTTTTTTAGCCGGTAGTCCGGGGACAATGAGCCCGCGGGAGTCCGGCACTACTGAGTGGCCATTGAGCACCTCAGTGTGCGTAAATGCATTTTCACCTCCTCCCCCCCCCCAAAAAAAAAAAAAAAAAAAAAAAAAAACTATTAGAGGATTTAAAATTAAGGGTATTAAGTAAGGAAAGGAAAAGCACACTTAGAACCATGGCGAACATACACCTGCCTCAGATATAGTTAGTATGTAGAGTGCTGCAGTTTATTAGAGGTGCCTGAAGTTTGACAGGGTCTAAAGCACGCAGAGAGGTACGCAAAATGCAATAATGTGACTAAAGACTAGGGACTTGTACCTGTAAAATAAAACAATCGATTAACCTCTCTTAGCCTCTCTTAATTCTGGCATCAGGTAACTAACCATCACAGGTGGGCTCCAGGGGAATTTTGGATAAGACAGAACCTTTCATAATTCAGATCACGTGTTATTTCGATTGTAAATCTAATGGTGATAAGAAGTTGGGTTAAAAGTGTCAAATGAGACATGCAGTATATTCTTAGTGCGAGGGTCAAGTGAAGAAAACTATTAACTTCGCCAGACGTTTTCTGTAATTTCATTCATAATAGAATTATTACAAAAGTGCTTGGTGAAATCTCTTTGGGTCCAAAGAAATGTGTAGAACTCTCTTCAAATTTGAAACAGATCTCATCTGATATTGATTATCTGGCAGTTAATTGATTATAGCCAGGCTTTAATTAACAACAAGGCTAGACAGAAGACAGTCATTTTACATGACCCATTTATATCTTCTTATTTACTAAAGTTTGTTTCATTGTAACTCAAAATATTTTAAAATTTGTTTACAAATTTTAAAACTTGCACCCCTTCAATAGAGTTTATTGTGGGTTTTCTACCAAAATTTCTAAAAATATCTGCTCTTAAAGAACATACATGGAAGGAAACATGTGTGCATAATATCGACATTGAAACATAATTTTTTTGATATTTGATCATCTAGTTTGATCCAGGATTCATTAAATAATGTTCATCATAGGATTTTAACAAAATCTTAAACTTCAAGAATTTTACTAAAGTTTACTCAATTTAGATCAAAAGATAAAAGACTAGCTGACATAAAATACTTTGGTATGGTATTTCAGATTCTCAATACAGTCATAGGTTTAATCGCTTGACTGATATTTTAACACAATATCAGTACACATGTGTCTGCATGACCACTGTCACTGACTTGATATCAGCTCCACACTACCATCTGTACCCTGCTATCAGTATGGTGGGCGGACGCTGATAGGCAAGGGGCAGAACCAGTCGACCAGTCTAATGCAGTTTTATCTTCCTTCTAACCATAAAATAATTCCAACAAAAGTCACTTATATTGCTGAATGTAGCATGTGTTGAGGGAAACAGCCTTAGACTAGTGCTATTTAGCTGTTCATGTATCTTTAAATAATTTTCTCACCCTTCGGTGCTGATTCCCCTTAAGAATCATGGCCTCAGTTTTAATCCAACTCAAATCGTCTCTATTCTTTTACTTCCTCCTCCCTCTGGATTTTTCTTGACTCCCTCAAAATTTGGTTACTATCTTCCATTCTCACTCAGCATATTTGAAAGAGCCTTTGATATTATTAACCATCAATGAGTCGTTAGCTCAGTCAGTAATGGTAACATGATAGGCTGAAAAATCATACAGCGATGTCATGGGTTCATATTACAATTCTGTCAACTTGCATAAGATTAATCAGTAAAGTTAATTCTTATACTATAGTGGCCCAAGTTTTTCATGATTCATTCCACACACAGGCCTTTAAAGCTCATGTTGATGGCAAATAAAAGGTTATAAGAGGCTACAACCCTTTGATTATATATATAAAAAAGTCTATTGAGTTTTTTTAGTAAAAGTAAAGATTTTCAAGATAAATTAAATGATTTTTCAAGTTGTGTGCTATATATTTTTATTCTTCAATAACACAAATCAGTATGTTATCACTTGGCATCACTTACAAAGAAATTACAAAATCAGTTTCAGTTTTACTTCTTGACTAGTTCTATCAAGACTCCTACGAGCCTATCACTGCCACTTGAATTTGTCTATTATAATTGCTACAAGTGATACAGTCAGCTGTGAGCTGTGACAATGTAATGCAGTGTCTGCTTGTTACTTGAGATCATTCAAGTCTGTCACATTGCGATTGTTGTAATGGCCGCTGTTTTCCTGGTTATACTGATCAATTTGACTCTCCATACAATGTTTCTTTGTTGGTTTTCCACTATTTGTGGTTTTTTTTTTCATTACAGCAACAAGAACGGTTCTTAATCAAACAGCTTAGCAGGATTAAATTAGTTCTGCTATTTAAACGTTATGTTAACCAAACAAATCAAGAGAAATTGAATGAATGAGTTTGAAGAACAACAAATTTAACGCCTAACCAGTAATTAAAATGTAAAAATACTTTGTGAAACACAAAATACCCCTCCAAATGTTTTACTCTAATGAGAAAAACAAAATGGTGATAAGCAAGATTTTCCCCCTTTGTGTGAATTGAAGTCCTGAATATTTGAGTCTACACCAAACCAAACCATTATTGCTAAAATTTTAATGGAAAATTCAAGCCTGAATATTACAGTCTGCAAACTGTGTGTACATGGAATTGATATCCCATTCCCAATTATTTGCATACCATCGCTCTCGCAAGGTCATTTAATTTAACAACTTCTCTCACTGTTAAAAATTTCACTGACATTCCCTTTAGTTATTCTCTCAGTAGGAACACCTTTTAACTATATTTTTTTAATAATGAGTTTTATTTTTAAGGTTTTTTTCTAGTTTAATGGTATTTATTACGTTTTCTTGTCAATTGTTTTTACAATTGATTGGAAATTAAATAAATATTTTGATGTCTTATTACTAAATATTACTAAATCTTATTACTACTTTGGGTAAAAATACTAACCTTGATTGATCAATGAATAGGACAACATGTAAAATTGCACTTAGTTTCAATTGTACTTTCGTTTATTTCAGTTAGGATAAAAATATTGATTTTTGATGGCTAGAACCTGAACGAGCATTCCTTGAACATTGGGTCTTTTAAAAATGATTTTGCCTCAAGTATCATCAAAAACTTCATATATGATTTTGATAATTCCACTATGTATGGGTTTCATACTTCAATTAAAATTATACTAGTGGTCGTCCAGTGGTCGAAAACTCGACCGGAAACATGTAATGTACACATATTGACTATTGGATACTGAAGTAGACATCCCATCTATAAGGACCAGCTGTCGCCATTTTTTTTATTAAAAAACATGTAGTTGTGTGAGCTAGTTGCCAAATGCGAGTCTTAAATTCTATTTTCTACCTTATTTTTTGTTGCTGACAAAGTTGATGGGTCATAACAGTTGCTATAGCTCATAATAAGTCATTCCATAAGTTTGACTTGGTAAAAAACATCGTGTATTCGAAAGAAATTAGTCATTTAGATCAGCGCAATCTGTTGGTAGCTCACATCAACTACGATAAATAAAAAAAAAAAACTGGTAACATCTTTAACATGGGGATGGAATATAAAGGTACAAGTCCTCTATTTTCACCCCACGATGTAAATAAAACATGTGATTGTAATTTCTTCCATTTGTTTTGATTTTCTGTTTATATTTCGTTGTTATTTTGTCACCAGCATGGCAACCCATAAAGCCCATGTTCATTTTTTTAAAATTTCAAATCCATTTTTTGTGCTTATATTTGAGCCTATTTTAATTTTTAAAGGGATTCTGCACTTCTACAGGAAAATATCTTTCCAACGGTACGTGTAGATTTTCCCTGCAATGCACACGAGCTGAGAAAAAAGGTTTTAAAGAAACATGCTTGCCTATTAATATATAGATAGATATATGAGGTTCCTTGCAATTAAATAGATAAGTAGTGACACAGTGTGGTAAATGTTTGTAAATTGTCCGCATTTCTCTCTGAAATTGTTCAATTTAGTTAAGCATTTCACCACCGAAGGAGGGTTATAAAACTTTCTCCAGCCTCGTCAAATCTTCTTACTGAGTGGGGTGTTGTACTCGGTAAAGCAGTTGCTGCACTGCACGAGACTGGGTAGCCGAGTTGTAATTCACCTATAGCCTAGTTGTTATATGTTCACTTACTAATCAGAAGTATTTGTTCGGTTCTGAGGAAAGTTGTATTTTGATTGTCAGCTCAAATCGGGCCCAGATGTTCTTGATTGTTGGGCTCTTAATAATAAATGATCCTGGCCAAAGAAATAACTGTTAGTTATTTGTGAGTAAGTAATGACAGTGTAGATTCATACTTTTATCTCTCAGTATGTTTTCACCAATCATGATGTTATGTGACATAATAAGCGTTATTGAGTTTATATCACATGGACTCTGAACTCCATGGATTTTTAGTGTTTCATGGTTCCTATATTAATGATTTCTCCTCATTTTATGAATAAAAAAATCTAAATTCTTCTAAAACAGGTTTTTTGCGTACACAGATAGTTGTAATTTGAGCTAAATGTGTGATTTGAGGTGCAACTGAAAAGGAATCCACCCATTCCATCATTTTCCTCCTGAGCTATCCAACATCTGCTACCCTAATCAAGACAAGATTTGAACCGTCAATATGTGTTGCTGTCTTCTGGCCTTGACAATGCTTAATACCGATCAGCCAATAATAATAGAGATTAGACTTAATGGTCTACTACACTATCAACTCCAGCCCAAGCATAGTTTTGTTCTAAACTTTACTTATGGGCTGCAGTATATGTTAGGTATAGCCTTGTATCGTTGGTGTTAACTTATTCTCACTAACATTTCATTGCGTAGTTGGTTATGTTACTCTTGTTTCTGATGTGCCTTTCGAGTTGAAAAGGGTCAAAAAGTCCCATGTAAAAAACAATGTCTTGTTACAACCATTATTTAATACAAAATTTAGAACAATTTCTGACTGTGTTGTTTGTTTTTTCAGACTTAATTCACTGTACAAATGAGCCGAATGTGTCCATTCCGCAGTTGGCCAACCTGCTCATCGAGCGCACGCAGAACTCCAACTGGGTGGTGGTGTTCAAGGCACTTATCACCGTTCATCACATGATGTGCTACGGCAACGAGGTAAATATTGCTGTTAAAACTTTTGTTCTAATTGCCCGTGTAACGTTATGTTTCTTAACATTTGTGACCAGTAAATTATTCTGACTTTCATTGGAAAAATGTTTCAATGTACTTTTCAGAACACAGATTTAAAGGTTTGATCTATTTACACAGATAGTTTTATCAAATCTAGATAAAAGTTAATTTAAAAGAGAAAATGGTTGTCACTACTTCAAATGAAAATATCTTGACAATATTATCAGTCAAATTATAACAGTTGTCTTTTAAAAATTGGTGTAAATACCTGCTTCTGGTAATCCAAAATGTTGCTGTTATGACGCAACTAGTTTCAACTTCTCTTAAAGTCATCTTCGGGCGTCCAGGGGATGTCAGTGATTTGACAACCCCTGGACACCCGAAGATGACTTCGTAAAAAGTTGAAACTAGTTGCGTCATAACAGCAACATTTTGGATTACAAGAAGCAGGTATTTACACCAATTTTTATAATCAACGTAATCCGGAGGCTAACATCAACAATGAAAAGTTGTCTTTTAGTTTTAGTACACTAAGCTATTTTACTAACAAACTAGTACGAAACTTAATGAACTAGTATCTTACTTGTCTTGAGTTTATAGAGTTCAAAGAAGATATTTAATGTCAAAACTTTTTCTACAAAGAAGTTTGCCAAGTTTTTAAAGCTTGTCGTTTAAAAACTGTGAAAGGTTCAGAAGATGTTCGGTATTCTTCCATTTTAAAATAGTTGGCTCATGGATAATTCCTTAAATATTTTATTATTAGAGTTAATTGTTTTAGTTTTTAATATAGGCCTAAATTAAAATGTTTGTAAACATATCAAGTAATAAAATACTTGTCATTACATAATAATACTTATTTTCTTCACATTAAAACAATTGCTGTTTTATTGTAAAATTATCGGATTGAAAATGCTAATCGTATAGGCCTATAATGGGATGAAAACATATTTGGTCACGCGACATTTGGTTACAAAATGATTTTTCACAATAAAATTACAAGAACATTTTGTCTTTATACGTGTAAACTAGCTGTTCTGAATTATACACAGTTTTAACCAACTACTCGATTCCCGTACGTAGGGCGGGCTAACACCTTGTAATACTTATTTTATATACCTGTTTGATAAATCTAGGCAGTCAAAGGACCTCATGTTGTACAACTTGATGGTATCAATAAATGATGACCTAACATCAATAGAAATGAATTTTTAATCAGCTTTCTGTACAGAGAATCGTCAGAGAAATAATTCTTTGGTTCAAGATAAAACTGATTTATTTCATCGTCCTTTAAGCCGAAGGATTATTAATTGATTTAATCATTTTCAAATGAACTAATATAGGGTTTAATTACCTTTTTGCTATCAAAACGATCCTTGATTGTAGTATAAAGACTACAGCTGTTTCATGCTTGTAAAGTAGCACATCTTTAGGTAAAGAATGTCTTAACTGTCTTGCTAATAATGTCTCATGATGGGTTGGTCAAAAAATAAATAACACGGTAAATACATACAACAACGTGGACGACAATACACTGAAATACTGGCCGACCATGCACTGATATTGTTAAAATTATTTTCAATCGATCATGCTATTCCCTCATCTTAATATGAATATGTGAATTCTTATAAAACAAGTTTAAGTGGACACACCACTCTTTATTAGAGGAAGCGAGGAAATTTAAAAAGAATTTATGATTTTAAATGTTGCTCATCAACAATCTACCTCTTCTGTCAACTTCTGATCCACCCCAACTGCTGACAAATATATATATTTGTAAACTTTTCATGAGTTGCACACCGAACATAGCCGAGGTGATTTAAACTATCGATCAACATTGTATACACCTTTGACAAACAATATCCAACTGATGATTTTTATTTTGTTTCAGAGGTTCACACAGTACCTAGCGTCTAGTAATAGCACCTTTCAGCTCAGCAACTTCTTAGATAAAGGCGGTGTACAAGGTAAGAGCTGTTAAGTCAATTACCAGAGTTATATATGACAATTGTCTTAAATCAAAATTTATAACTCTAAAGAATCAACTCATAAAAATGTTTCTATCCATCTTGATTATTATCATTGACTATGAATCCTTAAGGATTCATAGTCAATGTTATTATGATAAAGAAATTGCTTAAACTTTCAACTTATTTTATTATTATTTTAAATATGTCTAGTATATTTCTTATGTTTCATCATTTACATTTTGAATACTGAACATGTTTTGCTTTAAAATTGGTTGTAACGGTAAGTGGTTCATGAGGGTTCATGAATTTTTCCTCTGATAAAGATTCGTAATTGTTGCAGTTTTAAAAACCATCTTCCCTGGAGGTTATCACTGTTCACGACCTTTAACCTAAAGAAAATTGACGTTAAATTTATTTGGAGATAAACCCTTGTACGATTTTGGATATATTTTATAGACATTGCCTTAATTACGTTGGATAACCTTTCTGACAATGTTTGGTTTTTTCACATGTTAACGGACTTTTACCTTATGATTTGTCTGCCCGAGACCATAATGTAATTTTCTTGTAGTTTTATGTTTAATCCTTTTTGTGTGTTTAATCTTATTTGAAATAAGACTTAAAATTGTATTTTTTATGAGAAAACAGTTTTTAAAGAACTGACTATTGAACATTATAAACAAGAAGTATGCCTTGGATTTCAGTGATCAATACGATTGTAGAAGTTGTAGCCAGTTATTAAATATAAAAAAAAAACTTAGCACACTTTATACTCCCAGGACAAAGTATTTTGCTGTAAAAACTAAAAATACAACTTATTGCAACTTAACTTTGCCACCTTTTATAGCCTCAACTAACTAGTATGAAAAACTAGTTAAAAAAACTTTATTAGTGCCCCAGCACTTTAAACAATGTTCTACTAAAAACTGGCTACAGAAGATATTTATAGATTGAGATGTTGGGTCCATAAAGTCTAATGGTCCAAAGTCAACAATACAAGTGAAAAATAGCAAATAAGTTAAGATTGATTATGAACAGGACATCGATGGTTTGGTAGAATGAGAGGTGTCAGAGACTTGTAGGAGTAATGTGTATTTTTAATCACCGAGTATTCTAAAAGTATTTTTTGTTTCAATTTTAACAGGAGCCAGAGTGGGTGAGTACATTTTCAGTTGGGTTTAACACAAGGCATCCGATCTTAGAAACACTAACCTATCCCACTGTATAAATATTTGTTTTACCCCAAAATATCAGCCAGTGCACAAAACTCTGAAAACATTTTTGCTTTAACTTTAAAACTCTTTTGTAAAAAGTTTTGCATGTAACTGTTTGCACTTTACAAATGAGTTAGCACCTTTGTAAATACAATTGTAAAATTATTTCTTGTGTTTTGAACTCGTAATGACGTTAATTCAATCATAAAAACTTAAAAAGTTTGAACAATTTGTAATTTTCATATTTTATTAATGAACACATTTTATTATTTCATACAAAATAACAAGCTAATTACTAAAACAATATGCATATGCATGTTAGAGTAACATGCAATTTTTAAAACTTGGGTTTTGAAACTCACAAATTTAATATTGGTGGTATATATAGAAGGAAATTTACAAAACTATGAAACTTATTGGGTCTAACAAATTACCTTGTCATATTCTCCATTATGTCCCTAATTTATTATAAACTGTCGATTATCTGATAACAATTCAATTCTCTCCTAATAAAACCTGGGAGAGGTATTAGATTACATTTTTGGCAGAAGAACTATTGTACTTAAATCAAACAAATCATCTTTATTTAATAGAGGCTATAATTCAGCACATGCTAATAATAGTGTCACATCTTAAATATGCTAAAACTAAGTGATACAGTAATCTATAAATTTTACTTGAAATGGAATACAAATAAAAGTTACGGAGAGTAAATAAAAATATGTCTAAGAACACTTAAAACAAATATTTACACTTATACTGCTTTAACAAGACAGTATTTATATTGAAGATGGTGGTAATGGTGATCGATTTCGATCGGACACTGCAATCACCATTAGACCCAATGACGTCATTTGTTGATGTATTTTTATTTACTCTCCGTTAAATTAATAACATGTATTTTGCTGATTAAGAAGTTATTTATCAAAGTTGTGTAAGTCCTCCTCAAAGAGTCAGAAGTTTTCTTCTGCGTCATGGCATTTGTTTAGCCAACATTTTGTTAACTATGAGAATTGTTAATGTGTTTGCAGTGCTACAAGATTATGTGAAATATATTGTTGCATTGTTTGTGCCTGAAATTCAAAATCCTAAGAGTTCAAAACCTCCTTTTGGTAATTAAAAAGTCATACTTTTTCTTAAGAGCAAAATAGTGTTGATCAGAATCATTTTATTTTGAGTTTAGATGGTGATGTATTGTTGTGAAAAAGTAGTTAGTTTTGTTATACACATGTATATAAGTTGGATAAATAGTCATTACTTTTTAGTTTGTGCTTGGATTGTTTTCACAGCTGTAGTTTGGAGCGACATTGTATTGATTTTGAGTTGTTTACACCTACCAACTTGTATTAAAGCTCTACCTTCATTTAATTTACATTTAGATTGTTCTGTTGTATAAATTGTAGATTGTCATAGATGTTCAGATTACTGTTATTTCAAACCATGTTTTATGTGTACTGAATCAAAATTTTTCCGTTTATAAAAAAGTATGTCATGTTGATTTTTAAATTAGTTTTTTTACAGATTTCAAATCACAAGTTATAAGAAATATTTAACAATCGAGGATGTATTGTAACTTTACTATTGACGTTAAATTCTGAAGGTGTTATGGAAAAATATTTTATACACTGTTTTGGAGATTTTTTGTGTAGTTAAAGTAATCTATGAAATTTCGGCAGAAAAAATCTTAATTGGGACCTTCTAGCAAAATTCTGTCTTAGCTTTCTTTTTTAGGTTTGATCGGAAGAAGAACCGTAGGAATAAAAAAAAACCATTTTATTAGTTCGATAAAAAAAAATATTAGCCCACTCTAATATCAGTGAAACCCACTCTAAATCTTGTAACGAATCTGAAATCCCGGGAACATGAATATATACAAACCTTTCTCTGTATTTTGCAATATAATATTCAAGGCACCAAACAACAATTTAGCTCAGTCTGGGTCCTTTATAATTGACTCCTCTAAAATATCCAGTAAACTTAACTAGATCAAGAGGAGGAGCTAGCTAAAGGATTGACTAGATCAACTCGATGCTACATTGATTGATGGTGTAACTTAATATTTCTGTTTCAGGGTATGATATGTCCCCTTTCATCAGGAGGTATGCCAAGTACCTCAATGAGAAGGCCATGTCTTACAGAACTGTCGCCTTCGACTTCTGTAAAGTCAAGCGAGGGTAAGTCAATCAAGTTCTGCTAAGGTATCAGAGTAACAAGTATTTGCTGTTAAACTACGCAATCAAAAATAAAAAAATTATTTTGGTCCCTCTTATCCGGACTTTTTGGGACCGAGGCCAGTACAGATAACGGGGTTTCCGGTTAAACCGACTTCCCCAAAAACTAGTTAAAACGGTCTGTTTACTGTGATATTTGATTTAAATTTAGGTGAGCATTGTATTTAGACACGTGATCACTGGTCGCAAATCTTTCGCATGAGAACAGTCGTTTCAGTACTGTCCACTTCCTGCCGATCCAGTCCGGTTAAGCCAATGTGATGATAAAAATTGTCCGCTTAAAGAGATGCCATCTCCACCAAGTGTAGTCCGGTTATAAGGTGTCCGGATAAGAGGGAGTCTACTGTACATTGAAATGTCAAAGCTGATATGCAAGTATTTCAAGAATATTTTAAGTTATAAATTTGTGTGAGGTGATCTCGTGTAGCTTTATTACTAAGATAAAATCATTTTCAACCACGATCATTCATCAACCATAACTGGTTCCTGTTCAGTTATTTAATGATTCCTGTACTACCTATCATTACATTGTACTTTTAAAATGTTTAGTTGTTAATCTCACTGATACTACACCAAATCTTAGACCTACCAAAAAGTTAAGTTCATAAGAGACCAAATAAACATGATGGAAATGTATAAACTTTCTCGTGCTTTGGTCATCCATAGCTTGTGTATCTTTGTTACTGACTAAGATCAGCTTCATGATGGTATGGCCTCTGGATAGTCTGAATTAACGTATAGTGGTTTAAGTTACCTAGTCATTGTCCGAACGATCCTTTGTAGTTCGTTACAGCTGTTTCGTACTTTGGATGAAGCACATCATCAGGTCTGAAGAATGTCTAGTAGTCATTAAATATTTCTCATGGTGGAGTTTGTCAAAAGTTAAATAGTAGCCTATATAAATAACACGAACACGATACATAGCAAAAAACACAAAATTCGTCTTTCTTCTTCTTGACATTCTTCAATCCTGATGATGTGCTCCATCTGAAGCACGAAACAGCTGTTAACTTAACGAACTACAAAGGATCGTTTTGGACAGTAACAAGGTAACTTAAACCACTACACGTTAATATCAGCTGTTTCTTATTGTGTATCTTTGTTACTGACTAAGATCAGCTGTTCTAGTTTCAAACCTTAAATAATCTACTGACTTTTCCCAGAATCAAACTGGCAACCCTCTTATTTTTAGGAGAGCATTATTACTGTTCAGTTTCCCAACCATATATTATTTATTTATCCATAAGAAAAATTTATTTGCCAACATTTCTGTCTATTGTATATTTAACTTCTGGAAACAATTTTTAATAATCAACCTGTTGCTCCATCCTTAAGTTCCTAAATATGTTTATGTGTAGTTATGTTCTCAAGTTTCCGAACACCAGTCTTATTAAGCAAGGATTGAAAGCCTAATGATCGAAGGGTAAAAGTTTCTTTTAACCCTCCAAGTGTTATTGCAAATTCTCTTTAGCGTTGGCAATTATTTGGGGGTCACACAGACTTTTTCAAAAATGGATACAAAAGTTACTTTTTTCAACTCAAAATACCATGTATAGCATGTCGAATTGTTCAGGAAATTACTCTCTACATGAAAATAATAATAAAAGTATCATACTCACTGTTTTTATTTCCAACACCACTCTATGAATTAGGGTGAACATAATTTTCTTTTTTCATTTCTCAAAAGTTTTCTATTTGAGAGTATACCCAAAGGGTGTGAATAAACATTCTGAGATAGCCAAAATGTTCCAAATTTTACCTTCTTTCCACTGATATACAACACTTATAGGTTTCCTTGAAAACTAATCACACAAGTTACAAAAACTGAAAAAAGTACACTTGACACACTTCAGGTGTCCGAAAATCATCCGCTGATAAACAGGTCTGCCAACATGTGATTATTTTCCAACGTCCGCTAAACTAATAATATTCAGATAGAACGTCTTTCCTTTTCCCTTCCATCCTATATAAAATAAATGTACTTCTATCCAAAATAACAGAGATATACCGTCATTTGTGAACTGTTGCATAATCGTTTAATCGCGACTTTAGCACTATCAACGTCACTGAATACCATCGCAAACGTCCTCTTCGAGGGTTAAATTTAAGTGTATTTCAAATAACAATTGACTGCAAATCATAATATCTGTTTATCAATTACAGTAAGGAGGACGGTGTTCTGCGTACAATGAACGCAGAGAAGTTGCTGAAGACACTACCAGCACTGCAGGCACAGCTAGACGCTCTGCTGGAGTTTGACTGTACTGCACAGGATCTTACCAACGGAGTCATCAACATGACGTTCATGCTGCTGTTCCGCGACCTCATACGGCTGTTCGCCGGCTACAATGACAGCATCATCAACCTACTAGGTATGTTAAAGTGTAACGATCGGATATGGAATAGATAGTTAAAATGGCCAATTAGAATAACTAAATTTGTTCCTTCATTTAGGATTTATCTTCATCATTTTCCACACATTTTGTAAGGGTACAATCAAAACCCTTACACACATACCCTTACATTAAACCCTCACATTTGTTAGATAATACCACTAATTATCAGTCCAAATAAAAATGGCATGTAGGGTCCAGTATTGATCTTGCTTGGAATCAATCAATTTCTTAATGGAGATTTCTTTAAGAAATACAATAGTGTCATATACATGGATTGTAATTTGAATTTAGGAATCAATCCAGTGACCTATGAATTTGAAACCTTTGATGCAATTTCTTGTGTTTTAACTATCATACATTATCATTACAGTTGTAAAAGTTTGAATTAAATATTCTTACTTATGCACTAGGTTCACCATAGACAACGAAATGGTTGTTGTTTTAGACCTTTATTGTTTAGTTTAATATTGTTCTTCCAAATAAAACTTGTGGTTTTATTAACAAATTCATAGATTTTTTTAAACTCCTGCTAGTTTGGACTAGGGTTAAGAATTCCAATTTGTAGGTTTCTAAAAAACAGAGTTCAATATACTACGTCAACTTTTATATCTCTAGTTAGAAAATTGCATATTTCTCCAAATACTCGTGGTTCTGGAAATTGTATATTACTTGATGGAAAAGATTGTAAAAATAAATTGTTTTGCAGAGAAATATTTTGACATGAACAAGAAGCAGTGTCGAGAAGCGCTCGACCTTTACAAGAAATTCCTGATCCGGATGGACAGAGTAGGAGAGTTCCTGAAGGTAGCGGAGAACGTCGGGATTGACAAGGGAGAGATCCCGGACCTGACAAAGGTAAGCTGGACATAGAAACTTTGTATTGTAAGGTTAGCTCCAGTGTCCAAAAATTTCTAATTCAGTTTAAAACCTTGCTCATTTTCTCAAAGAAGGAAGAAAACAAAGGATACCATTTTTGACTATTGATAAAACCTGCATTTTAACTTTTTAACCGAGTCAAACTCATAGGACAATTTATATGACTTCAATAAGTTTTTGAATTAAAGAATAGTGGAACCGAAGGTGCTAAATTTTCTTTTTTTCTTTCATCCGTATTTGATTGCTTTTTCAATTCACTGCTGTGAACTTCAACTGAGATGCAAGTTTTATCCTCCCTATTTGAATATAAATGTAATATTCAATTCATTCCATTACTTCAGATTAAATCAGTATCATTTAACAACTTAAACGTTCATGGTTTCTAGTATTTTATTTGACTACTGTTGATTTCTATGGTGCCAAATAATATCAGGTTATTTTTCCGCAGGCTTGTTTTTTCTGTTTAAAACTCAAGACCGTACACATCCAGGTAAAACCAAATAAATGTATTGGGAAATCTACATTTAATCTGACACAAAATGTTCCATATATGGTGATCTGTACATACACAACTTATTTAAACAATTTTCTAACACATCTTAAATATTTAACACTACAGTAAAACCCGCTAATCCATTGAACTGAGACCATGGGAACAGTGAAAAGGTTGGATTATCCAAGGAACATATTAAATTACCATATTAATTGCTTAACTGAAATTTATCGATAGCGCGTGATCGCGGAAAACCATGATAGTGTTCCCGAGACCTCGAGAGATGTTCAATATGTTGACACAATCGCAGGAGTCGACAAAGACATTTTTTTTACGCAGAGGATATTCATGAGTTTGACGCCATCGCATATAGACCCCTGACAAGGATAAACAAAGATTTGAGACAATGATAATGTTCTCATGAGTTCGGGAGATGTTTAAAAATTTAAAAATTTGCAGCGATCGAAGAAGACGATAATGATGTGGACATGACTGGGGGAGATGATCAGGATTTTGCCACTATCACCGAAGACGATGATTTTTTCTGTGTCCATGGTATTTGTCTTGAATTTTTCTACAACCGAGACAATTATAATGTTCCCGTGACCGTGTGAAACGTTCAGTATTATGCTACGATTGTGGTGGATGACAAAAAACTTTTTTGTAATAGCAGAAAACGATGATGATGTTTTATTGATCGTGGGATATAAACAAGATTTTACCGCTATTGTGGGAGACAGTGATAATCTCCAAGGGACCGTGGCAATGATAGTCGCAATATTACCGTGAACACTGTCACCGATAGGTAATGGCACAGTTGTATGAAGCGAAGAGTCGGATTTGCGAGGTTCTACTGTATAACTTACTGACTACACTTAGCAAAACTCTGTTTTAATCTTAATCAAACTAAAGAAAATCTTTCAATAATTAATTTTAATCCCAATTCTGTTTAATACTTCACAAATCCAAAGTACAGTTTTTATTCTTGCTTTTTAATCAACTAAACCACTTAAAACCTTCTTTCTTTTTGTAAAAAATGTTTGTATTACAATCTGACTATCAGGGAGTATTTTAAGTTTAGTTTAACCACTTATACCTTATGATTTTGCTAGGTATCTTTTACTGTTTTGCATTTTTAACAAAATCTCTAATAATATTGTTTTATATGCATGATGACTACAGATCACAGATTTTAAATACAAAACATTTTTAAACATGGAGTTTCTCATGACCAAAATGGCAAAATTGTTAAAAACTGATAGGCATTTTCCATTCACGAAAATTGAAGCAACAATGATTAAATGTTTTGAAGTTTGTGTGTTTGGCCAAAAAATAAAAAAGTGCAAAGCAATTATGGAGAATATAATAATTTTTTTTAGGAAAAAGCATTTGTCTTAGGATTCTAGGCAGTTAAAAGAAGTTCACAACACAAAGAATTTGATATTTGATAGGAGTTACAAACCAGCTACATGTTGAACTATCAAAATGTCAACGCATCACTTTCAAATCACAAAATGAAACTAGTCTATTTGTGTATTGTATATAAACACACAACAACTAGTCTTTAAACATAATATACACATACACAATATCCTTTGTTTATAATATAATGCTTAAGTCCATTGTGTGGATTAGGGGCAGTTAAAGGGTTGTCGAATTCTTGGGTTCGCTGGTACTCTCTTGAGTTTGTGATTAATTGGTAGCTAATTATCTTTTTAGCATAGAACTGTTCTATTGATTCCTTGGGAATGATTTCAGAGCTTTGGTGGTGATACAGTTCTCATATTCCTGGTTGTGGGATTGTGAGTGTTAGGTTATGTGTTTCCTGTGTTTTTTATGTCTGTGTCCGTTCATTCTATTTCTAAGAGATTCTGTTGTTAGGCATTTGCATTGAGCTGGATATTAAAAGAATCCAAGTGGGTAAATGAGGTTTTCTGAATTGCATGTGTTGTGGCCCTGAATTTTGTATTCCTTTTTGTGATACAAGCTGGTGAAAGTATGTATGGGTTGGTGGTTGCAGGATTTGCATAATTTTTACATTGCAAGGGTTGGGTTTTGTAGGAGGGATGGTGGGTGAATCTTTCAGTTTGGGGAGAACTAAAAGGATTTTACAGTGTTGGGGTTTTCTGAATGAAATTCTGTGTTATGTTAGAGGTTCCAAAATTTAAAAGTCTGATTTGAGGAGTATGTTTAGTGATTGTAGGCCAGGTTATTGTAGGTTAAGGTGATTATGGTTGTATTTCGTTCAGAATACGAATGAGATGAAGCAAATTATCTGAAAATTAACAAAGCTTTTTGGATAACCAAAAACGAGGATTTCAAAGATTTTTCATGTCCGTCTTCTTCAATGTGACAGAATCTTGACGGACACCTTAATTGTGTAATTTCCAAGTGTGTTTTGTTAATTGTTTGTTGCACTTGTTTGTGTAGGCTCCGAGCAGTTTGCTGGACGCCCTAGAACAGCATCTGGCAGCGTTGGAAGGCAAGAAGGGCTCAGCGGCTAACACACCTACCCAGTCCGCAAGGTCAGTCTCACACTGCACACTCATAAACAACACCAACTGTGCTGGAGGAAAATAAACAGTTTGACTAAGGTCTATAGAGACTACACATTTTGTAATTCTTGAGGATTGGCAGTGTTTAATCCTACAATTATTCAAGATTGGCCTTAATAAGGCCAGTTGCCCTTAGGACATTTGGCCTTCTGGCTCTCGCCGGCCGGCCGATCGTTACGTGTATGAAGGGCCTAAGATAAAGGATTAAATTTGATTTGGGATCCTGCTAGACTGTAGTGGAGATATTAACAACACAATGTCATCAGATTTGAACAAGCCAATTAAGTTCAATGCTGCTCTTTGTGGAGGAATGGAGAAATGGGAGCTCAATTTTTTAATTTACAAAACTCTAAAGTTATGTGTACATAGTATTTCAACCCTTTCACAATGAATATTAGATAATTAAAAAAAAAAATTATCAAGTTTTGATCAAACAACATCCTGAGATACGATTATTGGATTATTTTGACTAAATTCTTACTTAGTTTGTGTTGTGTATGTGAACTTGATATATATTTTAAATCATTAATGTTCATTGTAATGTCTGTTTGTAATAGTGCATGGTTGTTTCCTGCATGGCAATGACTGTAACATTTACCTAGCAAATCAATGTTTATTTTTATTTTATCAGTACACTCTAAACTAAATAAAAAAGTTTAAATAACAAGCAATTATTAGACAAATATTAATTTTTTTATGAGTAAAACATAGTGTCATTCATAAATTTGCAATCAAAGGAGTTTAAATTTTTTCATATTTTTTAAACATTTGCTGCAACATTATTTTCATCACAGTAGATTGAAAGCACTTACACACCACATTTTTGCACGCCTAGATTATTGAGTTTTTAACAGAGTCATAGAATTTTGAGTTTAGATAAATCTCTAGACAAACAAAACCATACTAACATTATTAATATTTCAATATTCATAATCTAGCTGACCTGCTAATTCAAATTCACCCTTTGTCTATTGACTGAATGATATTTGTTTCTTAGTAATCATCACTATCAGTTACTAATATAAAACAACAGTATTTAAAAATGAATATTAAAAAGTGAATATTTTTAATTATTTTCAGCTATTACATTCTCGAACATTAAACTGTTAATTAATGACTGGTTATAACCTTTTTCACAAAATACAAAATCTAAAGAGACCATATTAGGTAATACTTCAGCGATTGTTTGCAATGCATTAGTTTTGAAACTAAACTTACCCAAGTTTAGATAGTAGAGTATGGTTTCTAGTTGAACATTTTAAAATAACATAGATATACAAAAGTTTATTATTTTTTGTTCAATGCTGGTATTCAGCATTTGCACACACAGTTTTTATTTTACAGGTAAGTACATTTGCTAGCAGTCTCTGAGTGTGGAAACATCGATGGGTAGTAAGAGTCAAATAATTAACCTTAGCTGATCTCTTTTTCACTCTTATATCCTGATAATTCTTCAATATTCTGCTCATTTGTAATGGTTGACGAAAAGATTGCGAATAACTGGGTGAGGGTCTGTCGGAACACACATGGTTGATGGTGTGGTCTTAATATAACAGTAAAACACTGTTTTAAAAAAGTAACTTACTTAAAGTCAATTCCACATTGGGATATTCTTGCACACTCCTGTCGGGGAGTTGACAAGTAACTACCCAAGATGTGCCACGCTCGTAGTCACCGCGCACGTAGCTTAGTCACTCCTGTAGCCGTGTGTGTTGTCCCTAGTCACCGGACGGATGTTAAGAGTGGTGTGTCTGCACTTTCTTCCACCAGTTCAGCGTTCGGGACGGCAGCGCAGCAAGCGGAGGGGGTGGAGGAGAGCCTACGACAAGCAGCACTGGCCGAGGAGGAGGCGGCCATGAACATATACAAGGTGAGCGACTTACAGTCAAATCAATCTATTGACAAGAAATTCTACGCAAGTTTTACAGTATTTGCTGTATTGTCAATTGATAATGCCTTGACAATTTGAATAAACTGTGTTTTTGGCTTTTGGGCTTCCTTAAACAAAAAAGTACAGAGGTCAGGGGGTCTAACCGACTTGGAAAATGGGAATAGTACGTGAATGTTGATGACCAGGTTAAAAAATTATGTTAATTTTACATACAATTTTGTAAGGAACTTTATAATTGCTGAACTATTCGCCCAAAATCACAAATTTTTATCGTTTTTTTATCATCAAAAATCGACATTGCGAAAACCATGAAGAATCACGAACAATGCCGCAATAGCAATAAATGATCACAGCCATTATTGTCAGGATCAAGGAAAATCATCACAAATTTTGCCGTTATTGCGACATGATCCCATATGTTGCCGCAAGCGTGTGAACAGCCTTTGTGATAAGCTTAGCAATTTATGCATAAGAAATAGGCATGACATGGCGGCACTCAAAGGGTTAAACGTTGGTTCTTTTAAGCTCTTGCCACTAAAAAGATCTTTCAATTTCATACAGAGGTGGCAAGAGGGGCTGACGTATATCTCATGGAAATAGTCACGCAATGTCTTTGTATGCAAGATGGGTTGGAAACCACAGGCTAGGATAATTGAGACTCTACAGTAATTTTGCAGTTTAATTTTGTATTATAAATTTGCATAATATGTCTAATTTTTTCAGTCCAAGGTGCAGTCCCCCACAAGCATCACAGCCCCCACCACCAACCCCTTCTTGGTGAGCTCTCCCCCCCCCAACGCCAATCAGCCCATACTGGACCTGTTTGCAACCCCAGCGCCCGCTGCGGAACCCACATTGGTTAGTGAAGCGATTAATTGATATGATTGATTCAAGTATGATGTTAAACAATATGTATTGCTTTACTGTACATCAAATGTTACTTATCTTTTGCTTCTAGCGCCTCATCCATGTAGTTAAAAATTGCAGTTTAATTGTATCTATGTAGCTTACAGTCACAATTCAAGTTAAACTAAATCTTATGTAGCTCCTAATTCTTGTTTAAACTCATTTATGTAGCTCTCAATTCTTGTTCATCCACAATATTTATTATTTAGGTAGATTGTAATTCTATTTCAGTCTCACACACAGTCTAGTTCAGTCAGTTTACACTGTTCCTGATTCTAGTTCAACCTCTTACATGTAAATTTACTCACATGAATATTTAATAACTATCATAAATAATAACTTAGTTCTCATGAAATCATTTGAAAACTCTAGAATCAATTCCACAGATCTATATTTTTAATTGAAGACTTTAAAATATATTTCATTATATTTTGGATTTTTATAATTAAGATCATATACCGTCTCCCATTGTTGTTGATTTTATTATTGAAAAGAACAAAATAGGCACTCATACAAAAAAATTCAAGTTAAAAAGCAGAAATTTTTTTGTTATAAATCACTAGTTCTTTTTCTGTCCATGCCATTTGTATCAGTAAAAAAAAAAAAAAATACTATTAAAAAACCAGATTAACCCCCTCAAAGGTTTTGTGCATACACTGGGTATTGAGCTAACCACTAGCCTAGTATAACACCCTTCACACCTAGTACCCTGAATTTGGTTTTGACATAGATTTTCTTTTTCATTAAAAAAATGTGGGTGAAATTATTTGTTCACTCGCTTGATTGGTTGTTGCACTTTGTCGCAGACATCCACCAAGGCGTCAGATGACCTGCTACAGCTGGGTAATCCGTTTGCAGACATCTTCTCAGGCTCAGCACAGCCAGCACCTGCGGCCCAGCCTCCCAACAACATGTGGATGACCAATGGTAACGTACTGGAGACTGTTGACAATATTCTTAAGACTAAGACGGTCATGTGGCCGAGGAGTTTTGAATGAAATAGAGTTCTTAGAGCTTAGGTGGGATAATTAGGGTCAGGATATTGATGAAATATAACATTGTTTGTAAGGTACCAAATTGTAAAGGGGGTAAAAACGTGTCACAATTAAATAAACACCAGAACATACCATTTTTTATCCACAATAGCCACTCCTAGGCCTTGTGTTGGCCATAGCTTGGGCTATGGGCCAAGGAACGTAGGCCTAGGTTTAATCAAAGTGAAGTATATACACACACTCAACGACATATTTATCTGTACTAGCACACAAATTTTTTAAATAATGTTAAACCGACCGATTTTACCAATTTTTAACACCGACGACAACACAACATAACCTCTAGACTGGTGTTGTTGACAGATGACAGACAAAGACTAGGCTAACATAAAATGTCAGATCAGCTGTTGACTAGTCCTTGAACTCACCACCAGAGAGCATAAGTCTCGACCGTACTGTAATAAGTGATTTTACTTCCAAGATGGGACATTTCCTCGTCGACTACCGAAAAGTAACTACAACGTCTTACGCTCTCGAGTGCTTATGTTACTTCTACGATCTACACACCGGTAATCGGAAAGTTAGATGTTTTAGTTAATCTTACTTTCACGTTTTACGTTCATCTTTTACCCTTAATCCACGTATTTTCGTTCCAAAATTTGATTTAAGTAACTTAAATTTCAGTGACTTGAGTCTAGACCTGCCAGTTCCTGCCTGACATTGACTAGCGGTGGCTATCTTTGGTTTTATTTTAATTAATTAGTTTCAAAATTACGATTTCTCCGTTCGCTTACAACTAATCATAACTTTAATTTGAGTGTGGCTGGTTCTAGGGGTAGGCCTAGCCTGACTTTGATGAATACTAGTATATCCCCCCCCCCCTAGAATTTTCTGTCACATGTTATTTTGTTTTGGTGTAAGTTTTCTTCATAAAGTATGTTAAAGATTTCTATCTGAAGAAGTACATTAGGATAAAATATGGTATTTACTCAGGGGAGGTATAGAAGAGGCTACGATGACAGCTGTGGGCTTCTTATTAGCTGAGGGAACGCCATTACCGTAACAAAACGGACAAAAGCCATCGGCCTCGGTGGTCTAATGGTTAGCGTGCTGGGCTGATATACTGTAGGTCCCGGGTTCGAATCCCGCTGGTGGCATTAACTTTTTGTCCAAGATGTTTTTATTATCAGCAAGTTTGGTTGGTTTGGTTCGGTTATTACAGTTTAATTTTATTATTAAGTCATTATAAAATTTTAATTGAGCAATTTCTAGTTTTATTTAATATACAGAATTATTTTTCCGATTACTAAACTTTTGTTATATTATTTCTTTATCAGCAAGTTTGGTTAGTTCGGTTAGGTTATGATAGTTTAATTTTATAATTAAAAAATAATAAAATTGAATTTGAGGCATTTATAATTTTATTTTATGAACAGAACTATTTTTGCGATTAGTAAACCTTCATTGCCAAAGTGCTCTCTACTACAGCGCTGTTCACGGAGGAATTTAGAACTAAATGCCTCATTCGTATCTCCCTTAAGTCAGACCCATAAAATATCAGTATCATATTAGTTACCTTTTATTGTGTACCTAAGACTCTGGACTTGGAAAAGTGACAGAATACATACATTTTTTATTTACCGTAAATCATAACCTATTCAATGGAGGACAGATAAATTGTTACATTATTTACTGTATGAGTTTTTTTCTTTTCATTTCCAAGCTACAATTGTGTACGTTGTTTTGATTCGTTTAACACATTCGCTGTGGCCCATCAATGGCAGGCGTAGCCCCGGTGCAGCGCAGCCCCGGTGCGGTGCAGCGTCGAACAACCCTGATTGCTGGGAGATTAGCTTTCAAATATTTCGGTCTGACGAATAGCAAATAATGTGCAATGATGTGCTGCGTTTTGACGAGAGTTGACGTAGTGTGCTAAAACACTCACAGAAAGCAACATTGCTTGGAACTTAGCCGATCCCATAGTATTGCCAATTGGAGGGAGAAAGACGGGACAACTAGTTGATTTCTACGCTTGCCAGACGGGGATTTTACGGTGAAATTTATTACCAACCTACACCACAATTATAGATAGACTGGTATTAGAGACACAACACTAACGCGTACAATGGTCCTTGACGAGAGCCTGAGCCACATTGACTGGGCAAACAACGCATTGCCCGTTGGGTCCTCGGTGACGCAGCCCGCACCACGGCACGCCATGTGTCACCGGGCACCCAGCCACAGCAAATGTGTTAAAAACTTTTTAAAGGTTGTAAAGACCAATAAGTATATTGCAAACTTTTTTTAAAGAAAATTGTTGCTTGTAGACAGTCCAAATATATATTTTAGAGTAGTATCATGAAAACTGTTTTGAGGTAGGGTCTTTTCTTTTCCCTAAACCCTGGTACCAGATTTGCCTTTCTTAAGAAATCCCTGCAAGCACTCTCGGTCTCCTTCCCTCTATCAACATAAACTACATTTTACTAGATCTCTTCTCGCTTATTTTTCACATTTCCAAATCATTGTAGTCTTTCTCTCTTCAGATTCCTTGGAATACCCTTCCTATGATCTATTAATTTGTAACTCGGTCCCATCTTGTTTATTCACAACCCTTAAAAACCTTCTAGTTTGTATTCTACTTCATACTCTTTCCAGAACATGCTTTCGACCCCCAAGTAACTTTTAGCCAATAGTATGTCGACATTTTTGAATTCATTGGTATCTCTATATCCCATATAGCAAGTCCTTCGTGCTTTGGTTGAGTCTTGCTCCTTTTCCCAGTCTAGCAATCCCAGTTAGCTTAGATAGTTTTCATAGGATTGAGAGCTTAGTGTCATTAAAAGGAATAGGAACAAAACAAATAATTTCTTCTCTAGTTTTTTTCATTGCCTAACTTGGTACACTCATTGTTGGCAGGTTTTAACAACGGTGCAGCACCAGCCAACTCGTTTGTGAGTGACAATGCTTTCTCTTCAGTTTTTGGAGCCACAGACCCTAACAATGCCCAGCCTACAGGTGAGTCAATGTTTCAAACTTATGCAAGTTATTCTTCTTTAAGCATGTTAAAAATCTCAATTTGGGTATTTTAAAACTCATTACTGAGTGTTTTGTGTTTAATGGATGAACTGTTACATTAGGCTTATGTTTATTTTATAGATTATAACTCTTCGCCTATTTTAAATTTTGTAATCTTAGTTTTACAAAAAAAGTTATTTTTTTAAAGGTATAGACAATTTTTTGTAATTGAAGCAATGTTTGTAAAATTAAAGTCTTAAATCTTTATATCTTGATGATGATATTATTTTATTGAATAAGATGGTGCACTAAACTAAAAACTGATACACATAACTACCTGTTTTGATAGACAGTATACACATTTTCTTACTGCAGAGTTAATATTGTAGTCTGACAGCAGACTACTAGGCTGAATGAGATCTTTGGAGAATCTTAGATCAGTTTAAACACTTTTGGTCTACTAATCCCCCCCCCCCACACACATACACATGCACACAATCCAACTTTGGCCTCAGACATTCCGAGTTTAGACACATAGGGTTTTTGATGGACATAAACATCCAGAGGCAAATATTATTCACAAATCCAAGGAGCATATATATTCCATATGCCATATAAGGATATGGATATATTCACTTCAAGGAGGTGTGAACTAAGGTCAAAATAGTTGTGCAGACAGACAAGTAGGCCTATACAGGTTCAATTCATATATAGTGTGGTGGGATAGCCACCTACATGTTGAGTAAAAAGTTCCCATCAACTGTTTGTGCGAAATGAAGAAAATTTGGTTTTGGCTGTGCCTAGGCAAATGGAATAAGAATGAAGGTTCAAAATATGTATGTTTGTTTTTTTACATTTGGTAGTATGATTTGTGTTTTTGTATTTTTTTTATTGTAACCTGCAGTAGTAATTTCAGGAAATAAACATACTGATACATTTTTTGAGGTTCTACTCTTTATTTGTAACTCCATAATATAATTGATTAATTCTTGGTTAATATTGGAGTTGGTAAAACAACCAAGTGATGAATTATTTTAGAAAGCTGAGAATAATTTGTGTTATATAGATCTGGGTCTTTTCAGTTGAACCCTGCACAACAACTAAACTTATCCATTTGAGATTGTGTTAGGTTTTTACAGTGCGAGTGCTTTTAAGTCACTAGCGACATTTTTATAGTGCACAGTAATCAACTAAATAATACTATGAATTCGATATACTTATATCATTTTATTACTTGAAGAGCCAACATTTGTCTTATCGTTTTTCAATAGAATACCAATACATAATCTAGAATAGAATACAAATATTTTATCTGATTTCAAGTACTCTTTCTTCATTAAAATTGTAGTTTAATCACTTGGAAGAAGAATCCATATTACTTTTGTTTGTTATTTAGTGAAAAAGTATATTATTGCGTAGTCGCAGGTGCATGCCAAGCAAAAATGGCTTTTGTATTATATTCAAAAAACATTATTTTCTGCCATGATCCTCTGATCACTTCTTACTTGTGTAATATAGTGTATTCCATTGTCCACTTTGTTGATGAAAGTGTTTTCTGGTGCAAGCTGCCCCTGGAGCACCAAACCCTTTTATGGCTGATTTCGGCCCGGCAGGGACTAACGCCCCGGTCCCCACAGGGGACTTGTTCGACAGTGGTGACTTGTTTGGTGGTGATCCGGGAGACCCCAATGCCGCCAATAACTCTCCGTTGAGGAATCCCAACGCCCCTCCCCCACCTCGGCCTCCTCCTCCCTCCAGCGGCACTCCCCGCACCACTTCCCCCACTCCCAGCAAGAGTGCGTTTGACGACTTGAATGACAGTATAAGGATGGCCCTTGGATCCCCTTCTCGTCCCCCTGTTCCTAGTGCTGCTCCTCAGCCCCCCTCAGGTATGCCCGGGGGGTTTGACGGCCCACCCGTAGCTATCCCACCCGGCATGCCCGGTGTTGTGGGGGTCATGCCCCCTGGTGGCATGCCTTACTCTCTCCCTACCTACGGATCTCCGGCGAAACCGGCCATGCCGATGACAGGTGATTCGACTGAGTGTTGATCCTTGTATTAACCGGCTGCTTTGTGAACTTAGTGTGGATTGATTTTTTTTTGTTTTTATGTAACCTTGGGTTCCCACAGACAGATTGCAAATTTGCTTAAGCTAAGTAGCTTAGAAGCAATAGGTATATTTGTTAAGTTAACCCATTTGCTTATGCACGGCCAAAAAAAGTAAATTTGTTTTGCGCTCACAGTTGGGTCTGTATTTTTCCTCAGTCAAATTATTTAACCATGCTTTCTGAGGAAGCCCTCACCAGCATCATCGGTTTTATCACTGTGCCAAAGGCTGCTTTTTCTCAGACACAAAGTCAGGTCAGTTGCCATGTTGTGATAAAGACAGTAATTTTTTTCTGTGGCTTATTCCACCACAAAGAGATTCATATCAGCTCGTCTCACGGTTTTGATTTAATTCTTCGGGAAAGTTGATAGCATTTAACTCAAATTTACCATTGCAAATTTCTACTTAATTTTCAGAACCACTTTAGATCTAGATTTCGTTACATTGTTAATTTTTTTAATTCCATTAAAAGAATTGAACCAACGAATCTAAAACTCCTCTCTTTAAAAATATTTACCTCAAAACAAAATTTGTTCTCAAATAATCATGACTAATTATTATTGCATGGTAGAAAAAAAATTGCTACACTTTTTTTTACATACAAACAAGTCTCAATGATGCTGTACTGATTGACTATTTTCTTTTGTCTAGTTGTAGAAAAGTAGTTCTGTACTATTATTTCATATTAAAATGGTTGAAAAACTCATGACTGACCCACAAAAAAGAAAGCTGTAAGCAGTAAACAAAAAGAGGATTACTAATAACTCTGACATGGTACCAGTTGAGAACTCTTAAAACTGGAGAATAAAATAAATGAGTTATTCAAATCACAACGGTGCGGCCCGTTACACGGTGTTAATGCTTTCTGTGTGTTTGTACCCTTAATCTGCTACTTAGATATTTACAAATGGCAGAGCAGGCCTTAGGCACATGCAAATAACAATTTTTTAAAACTCTGAGTTTTACATGAATAATCACCTATTACAGGAGAATCCCTAATAACCGACTCCTCGAAATATCCGACCAAGTGTCCGCCGTCTACTTGTTTCCTTTCTGGGGATAGAAATGCCTAGAGGTTGATCAAATGGCCGATCGGGAATGTTGCTGTAATTGCGGCAGACGATACCCATTGTAACCGATAACGGGTGTTTCCGCCCTCGAAGGAGACAATTACCGAAATCGCAAAGACTTCGAGCTACGCTCATGGTTGTTGTCACGATCGTGGGAGATGATTACGGAAGTCGCGAAGACTGCAAGTTACGCTCACAGCTGTTGCGGTGGTCGCAGGGGACGATTACTGAAGCTGGGGAGACTTCAAGTTACTCTCACGGTTGTTGTCACGGGAAACAATTACATATGTTGCGGAGACTGCAAGTTACGCTCACGGCTGTTACCGCGATCGCGAGAGATGATTACCCATGTCGCGGAGACTGCAGGTTATGCTCCTCCCGATATCCTACATTTTAGCCCTTCCGACCTTGCCCTGGTTCCGTCAAGTGTAAGACATCATCAAGGTTGAGAAACGATGTCTTATGTTGCTGTGATATCAGAAAAATACTGTATAGCAGTTGCTATAAATGCGGTAGATTATCACGGATGTGCCCATAGTCCTAGGAAATCATTTTGAATGTTTCTGCCATGACAGAAAATCGTCACAGATATGCCCGTGTTAATCACAGACGTTGCTCAGATTGCTGTAGTTGATCATAAATTAATGTAGTTGGAATTAAAGGTTTCAGACTAATGCTATAACGATTTCACTCAAAACTATTGTTCATAATAGAACACTAAAGGCACATGAGTTTAAAGCATAACCAAACTATGTCTTAAAAATATAGCGAAAAAATACCATACAAAGGCTGTTATGTAATCATTCCTCATTAACTTGACGACTATTTTAGGCAAAAATCATACCGGGAGGAAGATAATAATATTTTATTATTATACGGGTATGGTACTAATATTTTACATTATAATTTTTATGAGTTGGTACTGTTGGAATACTACGTTTTTTAGTAGTAAGCACCACTCTTGACAAATCCATATGAGATGCTAAAATTAACTTTACTAAATACTAGTTGATGTCTTTTACATTATAATTTATTAAAATTGGTTGATCTGTTGGAACCCTTAAGTTCTTATTGTTATTGCATGTTTTTTGTATTGTTTATGAATAAAATATTTTTTGTATGTAAATAAATTGCTCTTAGATACCCCCTACAGTGTTGCATCAGTTAGCTTATGTTTTTGAATATATGTATTCGTCATCAGTCATCATTCAATTATAAATTCTTTAAGACAGTGGCACACATTTGGGTGCATTTTTATCCTTCTTAATATGTCTTTTCATTTTTATTTTCTTATTTGTTTTTTTTAAATTAAACTGTTATTGAGGAGACTGGGTATTTATAAGAATAACTAATAGTTTTAGGACTTTTCTGTTTACAAGAGTGCTGTAACATTTTTTGTTTGTTTTTTACTTTAAACATTTGGTAACATTTTGTTGGGTTAATATTACCTTTAACAGACTTTTCAGTGTTACTGTTTGTGTTTGTTATTAAATCAGCACTGTTTGTTTACTTTATTACATTAATAAAAGGTTTATTTTTGCGATAGTTATATTATTTGATTTGTTATATTTCATTTTTTACTAATACCTATCGCTTCGATGTTTAATATAGTTTTTTTTTTTTATTTAATTAAAATACTCTTTGTATTAGTGATCCTATGAATTTAATTAGATATTGCACACCACCTATATTAGATATATCCCAATTTATCAATTAAAGAAACAGAATGCAAAATGAGAAAATTGGTAGTATATAATGTTAATGAACTATTTTACGCATGTGTATCCACTGTTTGTAATGCTAGAGATTTGCTTTTACAAGAGCTGTGTTTGTAGGTCATTCAGTTGTAAGTTATGTCAAGAACCTATTTTATGCCAATATTGTTTTCTTCGTCTGCTTCTAAAAACTTTGTAAATGTTTTAAATCTTCAGTGTAATTCGTAAACAAATGACAATTTTTATAACTCTATGTGACTTAACTTTTGGTTTTCCTTTTATGATTTTGATAGTTAACTTTACAAATGGTAATTCAAAATGTATCTGAGAGATGGCTGGACATTAAAGTTCTGTAATTAGTAAAAATCGGACGATAAAATCTACTTCAGAATCATTATGGATTTTACTGATAACCCTTGTATATTCAATATGTTTAGATGTTATTCTGTTGTTGATCTATCAGCCATTTTGTGTTGACACTAGCGTGTTTTTGTGTTGCAGCAGCCGTCCCTGCCACCGGCCCCAGCAAGGTGTTAACAGGTGATCTAGACAGCAGCCTAGCATCACTAGCCGAGAACTTGACCATCAACAAGGGCGCCACTGCCCCTGTCAAGTGAGTTGTCTTTGTATGCAATAGTCACCCACAACTATTCTTCAATAGTTTGAGATTATATGAACTACGACAAATGTGTGACGCCACTAGTTTTGTAGTGGGGTCGCTATCTTGTGGTTAGAGTTTTGGACTTCAGTGATAGGGGAACAGGTTTGATCAAAAGAGAAAGAGATTTGGACTACTCTCCCTTGAGTTTGTGATGCTTTTATGCAAACTGTCACTATAAACACTACCCTACAAATTAACAACAAATGATGATGTAATTTGCAAAATAAATCACACAAAACTTCCAAGTTAGGCCATGTTGTCTGGATTAATTAATGCCATATTTAATAAATTGAATCCTTTTAATATTCCTCAGTACCGTACAAACTGTTAGAAAAACACAAAGTTAATTTTTTTAAACATAAATATAAATATTAATTATTTTCAGGATTACTTATATTCAATCACATTCTTAAATCAAAGTAATAAGTGTGTTTTTTTTTACTTTTTTATCCCCCTGTGTGGTCTTTTTTGTCATTGCTTAACTAGACCTTCACACTAAGTGTTCAAATGATCCTTATGACCTTGAAAGGCGACCAGTTTAGATACTCACGGGATCATCTTTAGGCGAACGTCGTCATCTTTGTTTCATTCTTACAAACACTTAGATTATTTTAAAAACAGACTTTTTTTACGTTACACTTAGTCACACACATATACGAAACACGTAAAAATAGCCAAAACCGATCGGTTTTGCAGCAGGCGACACAGAAGTAGAGTCTTGGATGTTATGGTGAGTCGGTGGCGTCACGGACTTCGGGCTCATGGCAGCGATGTTGTGCGTTCGGATCCTGGTCACTACCGCAAACAATTTATCAGTACAGTTCACCTTCTTACTGTACCGGCTCACCCCTTGCTTTGCTGGATACATTCCACGCACGGGTAAATAGTCTATGTGGACGGGTAAATACAAGGTTAAAATAGGCCGCTAACCTCTTTTTTGAAAAAAATGGAAGTATACAGATTCTTAGAAAAGGTCCAGCAAACCAAACTGTGGTAAAATTCAGGATAAAGGAACTAATCTCTATGTTTTCCAGATAGAGACGGGTAATCCAAGGTCGTTTTAAATAAGTCTAAACTGTAGTGTTGGAGACATAACATTTCCAGTGAATAGAGTTAACCCTCATTAGTTTTTGTTTTTTTATTTAACTTTTAGAAAATTGTATAATTTGCTTAATGTACAATATGTATGTGTGCAGGGGTGTGCAGTGGAACTCCCCCAAAAACACAGGCAAGCCCGGTCAGGCAGGTTGGAGCCCGCAGCCCATGGCGGCCACCACGGGTGCCAACTACAGGCCAATGGTACGTAAATTTCCCTGCATGTTTGTAGCATCTACAGTTGCCACACATGCTTTATGTAGTTTGATTTGGCATCAGTTTTAAATATATTTCCTCCAGTTTTTCAATGATACTTTTAGATTTTTGTTTTAGATTATTATAAATGTATGAAAAAAGAGTTTGTTTTCTGTGTTGATAAAGTGGTAAGAACAGTAGTAAAGATTTCACAATTTTGTTTTACAACATTCTCTATTTTGTCTGATTTTGTAACTTTGTACAAAATAAATTATTTTCACCTCGCTAGGACATTGCCAGCTTTTTTTATAGGTCATTTAATGAACCAGAGTGCTTCATTAACCTGGTCTGAAATACACTACTTTTGGCTCCCAGTAAAGGACTACTAGTGTACCTGTTGCTCGAATTCGAGCAATTTTGAAGTATTACAGTACAATTTATTTAAAAGCATTACATCACTGGTAATAGATAAATTAATTGTCCTTAGCAGTATTTGCTTAGGATTGTACATTAATACAGTACAATATTTATAAATATGCATGTTCTATTTGCATTTTGTATTTTATATAATTTATTTTAGTATTTGTACAAATTGTATTTATATGCTACCTGCATTAGGTTAGTGGTGGGCAAGAATATAATTTTTTTCTACTGCGGCAACATATTATGCCTTAGGCCTAACTTTAGGTTTTATTTTATTTTTCACTTGACAGATGAAAATATAATATATATATATATATATCTTTATTGATGATGACACTTAAAATTGGAATATGTTTTGTTCAAAAGTATTTGTTGCTCTATGTATTGATTTGTAACTTTAATGCTAGCTTTGTTGGTCTACCTGTTTTACGACTTTTGTCTATTATTGTTCCACAAAATACCATATTAAATTATTTAAATTCAGAAGGTGATACAACTGTACTAATCCTTTGTTAATGAGTTTTATTTAAACAGGATTTTTTTATTATTATTATTTCCCCCTGTTTAACTCAAATACAATTTGGTCTACCACTATCCTATGTGTAAGATTTTAAAAAGCTTTTATATTTTCATATTTTTTTGTATTATTTTGCATTTCTTATCATGTAGCATTTAGTCTGATGTTTACGTGTACAAAATTCGTTTTCAAAAATAATATTTCTTATTAAAACACTATCAATTTTCATTGTGCGTGGTTTTTGATTCTTACCAATTCCAGAATGTCACAAAATTACATCAAAATCAGCTCCTGCGATTTCGGGGACAATAAAAAACTATTTCTTAAAATAAAAAGAACCGACTCTCATATTTAATTATTAGTGATGGGCAGATTCCAATACTAAATTTCTATTGAATGTCTACACGTTAACTTTGATTCTCATATTCTTAATTTTTTTATACAAATCCATTTCCTGGACAAATCAGAATTCACAATAAACAAAATCAAAGTAGTGTAAAATAGTTTTTAACCTAATCAGTTTCTACGTTTTTATTACATGTTTATGTTCCGATATTTCAGGCCATCTTTATTTGCCATTTTTCTTTTGGAATCTGTATTATTTACTTATTTTTACAGGAAACTGGCAATATTATTGTGAGTGTTAAGGATGGCTGCAACAAATTAGCGTTATCTCAAATTCATAATTCGGCCAAGATTGCGTATGTTTGTTACTGTAATTGTAGGAGCTGATCAATTTTGCTATAATTTTGTGTTATATTCTGGAATCTGTAAGAATCCTAAATGATCCACAATGAAAATCGACGATTCCTTGATATTAAATGTTTGGAGGAATAGAGAATAACAATTAGCTCATCACTAAAAAGATTCACTTGCACCAAAAAATGTACAAAATTAGATTGTGCCCAAGTAAATGTCAGACGTATAGAGGTGCAGTAGAGTAGATGTATAGGCCGCACGTTTGCTTTACAGGGTCAAGGCATGATGAGTCCAGCGCAGTTTGCTACGATGACTCACTCTCCGCTGGTAAGTGACTCTAGCACGCTCAATCACTCGCTCACTCGCTGGCTTGGCTGACTCTTACACTCTCGCATGACCACTAGTAGAAAACATTATACTCTCTTTCTATAAGTAGTTTTATTCTATCTTTGCAATTCCACTTAGAGTTATTACAATGTTATTGTTCACTGACTCTGAAATTGACTATACAAAAATGATGCTATGTTAAGGTTAAAAAGGTAACAGAATTTAGTACATTCCCAAGGAAATATTTATAAGGTTTTGGATTTAATTTTTTTTTTTTTTTAATAGGCTATGATGCACTCACATCTTCTACACCTCAATATTTGCCTAGGTTTATTACAAGAAGGTTAATACTGTAATGTTAAAATAATGCTGCATTACAATTCTACGACTAATTTGTACAGCTCGCTATTGTATAACTATTGTCAGAACAGCTTATTACTTACAGGTTTCAGATTTTGTTTTTCAAACTCAGTACCTAATCACAACATTCCTGAACGCAAAATCTTTTATTTCACTATTAATTTTAAAATGATGTTTTAGTTCGACAAAAATTCAATGTGTGTTGAAGCTCTACTGTTTACTTATGCGGCTTCTTTGTTTTTAGCGAATTTCCCTATTAATTATTTTCCTCTACTTCTCAAGGAGTCTGTTGTTTATTAATTATTACAATGAGAAAGAATGCCTCGATTTTTATCCAAAATACTGGTACTCCCAGTTTCAAAGAGGTTTTCAAGTCTGTCAAATTCTCTTGCAAAGTAGAGATTTTAAATAATCAAAAGAGCTACATAACCTATGCCATTTCAGTGTATGTCTATATGAAATATTTTCAATCATCAAATTAACTTGTATTGAACTTACTTTCAGGGAGGAAACTTATCTTGGATGAGAACTAGCTCTAATATGTTTTACTCGGCGAAAAGTCCGTTTGATTCGGTTTCCTCTCCGTTCCTGCAGGCTGGGGTATCGTTTGTTTGAACTGAACGTTTTTGAACTAACATCACCTTGTTTTCGATGTGAACACTTGATACTAAACTTCTTGTTATATTTTGACTTCTTTTTACATAGTTTTTAGGTTTCCAGAGTCGTTTAAACTGTGTAGTTTAGAACTGTCTGTTGGTTTTCTGTATATTTTTCAACTTTAAACTGAACACTCGAGAAGAGGCTAATTCCGGTTATTTCTTAGTTATTAAATTTGATGGTTAAAGAAAGGATTGAAAATTGTAAATAGTTTTGTGATTGCCGTTAAAAGTGTTGGTGCTTATATTCAAATATATAATAATAGAACGTCTTCCAACATTAACCCAAATTGATCAAAGGATACAAGAACCACATCTTCATAGAAAAATAAGATTGGATGTCGTGAAACACCTATTGAGAAACTACCACAGCTAAATCAAATTTAGATCCCCAAGATAGGCAATGTAAAAACAGAAATTGTTTTAATGCTCAGGGAAACTATACAAAAAAAGTTAAGATACTGAAAATTGAATTATCAAACAAGTTGATTCAATTTTGCTGAACATTTTTAGAATTTGTTACGGCTCCCAATGTTATACCAGCAAGGACACCATTTTTTCTCGTCTTTTACTAAATTCATTACAGTTATATAATTATCAAAAATGTTTAAATGGACCTAATGTAATTCTGCGTCAACAATTGAAAATAACATAAGTACTTTCAGTATTACAGAGTACCTATTTCATATTAGGTTTGGTTTTCTATATTCTAACATTGCCGTAAAAAATGTCTGATATGCTGATAACAAATAGAACATTATCCTATTACATCTTTTTCTTAAATTTTTCTTTAATATATTATCTTTATTTTACCCACTTCTCTGTTTTCAGCCGCTTGTACTTATCAGCAGTTTTCAAATTAACAATGTGTATTTTTTCTAGTTATTTTTAAATCTAACTACACCACTTGTAACCGTATCTTCTCACTATGTATATATTCTATGCTCTGCTCTTGGTATACTAATTGAAAGTGCGGAATATGTCCCAAGTTTTATTTTGTTCCATTGTTGATATTTTTGTATGATTTAACTATTTATTTTATTTTATTAGAACATTTTTGTTTCAACAAATTGTTCAGTAAAAACTTATGGCTCACTTTGGTATCAAGTAGGCCTACTTTTATTTTTTTTAACATCAGTAATTTTATAGCAGTTCATAGCAAAATGATTATTGTCTTTGACAATTGATGCAACAGTCAGTATCCAATAGTCAGTGTTATTATTTTTCCTCGCTACAGACTGAACTAGGTATTTATTTGTTAATAAAAACAACTATAGAATGCAAATAAACAAACTAAATGTAAGGGGGGAAAACCTTCATTTTTACATATTAACTTACATCTTAACTTCTATTTTTTTTTTTTACACTTAAAATTGTTTTTCCAGCTTATAAAACTTGTAAAAAATTATAAAAAAATAAGTTATTTCAATACATTTTAATGTTAAATTATTTAATTTATGATTTTTGAATATTGTTTAGTTTGTTGAGGACATATTCCGCCATGTAGTGGTATAGTGGTGTAGTGGTGCGATGCATGATCAGCTGAGGTGGTGTTGTACAGGGGGTGCCGGTGGCTGGGGTAGTACCACTGCAGACTCTACCACAAGGCACTACGCCTCCAGTAGACCCCTTCGGCCTTTGAACAGGTGAACAGCTTACTGGAGTAGACAACCCATCTATAAAACCGACTTTTGTCAATTTATCATTCAAACAGTTAAATGACACCGTAACAATTGATATTCTCTCTCAATTTTTGATATTTTGAAAAATTATGTAATATTAAAGTTGTTTAGTTTTCAATTAGTTGTCTTTTCGGTTGGATTGGTTAAGAAGTTGGTATATTTGACTGAAATGTGTTATCACAGCACTCTTTTGGTGGTTCAGTTTAACTATGTTCATTTAAATATGGGAATGGGGTGTCTACTCCTATGTGATAATTTGTTTCCATTTAATGTATGGCACCAGAAAGACATAAATTCCTTATAAAAAATAAATATAAATAAAACTAAAAGCTTCAAATTTTTTATTAAGATTTTTTAGTTTGAAAATAAAATTAATCCAAGTATTGGATGTTTTTTTAGGTTTTCCCAATATTGAACATTAAATAATGGGACAAACATTTTAAAACCTTATCCTTGAGAAATTGGAAATTTTATAAAAAGGTTAAGAGTTTAGCTAACTTATAAAAAAAAAAGATACAAGTCAAAAGGTTTTTTAGATCTTCCAAAGATGAAAGCATGTCAGATTCTTTGTTAGAGGTTATTTACTCTGTAATTCGACATTTAAAAACACGTTTATGATACATTTTTGACACGTTGTGACATGTTGCAGGACTTCAAGTGGACCTAGGACCCGAGTGAACCTCATCATATCCTGCGTTTGTAACATATTGTTGCTGTAAATTTGAGTTATCCAACCTGCAGCCTCCATTTGCCAAATCTAGCGGATACGGTGTGAAGCGTGTCGGTAGTCGGTTTTCTGTTAAACAGAGGACTATTGTGCAATAGCTAAATAAATATTATAAACACCGTTGACTTAATTTTGTTTAGGACGGTTTGCGAGATAATACATTATAGTTAAGGTAGATGTTGTATTATAAGACGGGTGAGGAGTCGAGGTATTGTGTGCTATGGATCCAGACAATACTCCCCCCCCCCCAGTTTTTGAATGTATATGTCCCCCTCCCCTCCCCCCCCCCTAGTGCGCTACTCTACTCTTGTCTCTATGTTAAGTTTGTATTTAATTATTACTTGTAGATATAACATATAGTAGTAAATTATCGGGACATTTCTTTTTATATATTCTTTATTTATATAGTAGATGTTCGCATCATAAGCAAAGTTATAAATATATTTATATTTTTGCCGATCACCGATCATATTCACCCGCTTTGAGTGTTGTCACGCCGAATTCTGCTGAACTCTTCATTTCCGGCAGTTTTTGAATGTCTTTAACGTTCTAGTCTTTTCTGTCCTCTTCAATATTTATTTTATCGTTTGTCTTTGTGTTGTTTTATGTATTTTTGTTCGCAAAATAATCGTCATCAGTGTTTGATCGGCTTTACTGTTATAAGAGTTGTTACTATTGCCTGTTATTAGAGATTAAATACTATACTAACTCAAACTATTTTTATATTTGTTTATCTTATTTGATTTTTAGGGTTGCGATTAAATTGTAGTTTAATATACCCGAGGGTATTTGTATGATTATTTTAATGTGTCATTCCATTGTGACAGTGTACTAGGTATTTATTGTTTCTAATTTATAAATTTAATTCAACCATAAACATTTTATTTATTTTAGTCAATTATCATATGTAATATAATTGAAATTGTTATAAATGTTATCTGGGAATAAGTATATTTTCTTATCCGGTGTACTACAACCCAACATGATATGTCTTTGAAAAAGTTGTTGTTAAATGTGAATTTGTTAAAATGGACATCTAAAAAAGCTTTTACGGTTGAATTATAATCAATTACTCAGGTATTAAAATACAAACTCTTTCTGTCTACTCTTGGTGTTTTACCCTCTTCAGAAATTCAAATTTTCTCATGTCTTTCAGAATGTTTACTAGTGCCTGCAGTTTCTCTTCCAGCTACTATCAATCATGAGATGAATTTCAAGTTCAATTCAATTTGTGTCAGATGTAGAAAATAATCGTAAGAAGTTCTATTATGGAGTGGGAAAAGACAAAATATGAAAACTGTTTGTAAGGCGGGTAAGATACGAGCGGTGAGCGGCAAGCGGCGAGCGGTAACCTGAGTCGGTTTAGTCGAAAATGGTACCTAAACTATACTTTCCTGCAAGAGGTATATTGCAACTATTGTTGCTATCTGACAATTGTTTGACTTTAAAAGAAAAACCTTAACACTAACTTGGTCCCATACTTTTCTGGTGACTGAAGTATTTTAAAACTTCCGTGCTGATTATCCCACAAATATTCCCTGGACTGCACCTCATGTATCGACCCGTATTGCATGTTTGTTGCTGTTTCCCTGTCATTTTAGGCTGAACTGAAGCATGACTCACCTGAGCGGCAAGCGGCGTTTTTGCGAAAATCAGTTTTTTTTTTAAGCCAATCATCGGTCTCAGGTAAGAGACACGACTCTCGGCTTTACAAACAATAAGTTTTTTTTAAATGTGAAACAAAAGGTAGGTTTTGACTTGGAACCATGAGCGGCACTGAGCGGGGGCCGCTCGCCGCTCAGACGTATCGTGGCCACCCTCAACAAATTTACACGCACCTAAATGAGACCTGACGCTCGCCGCTCGTATCGTATCCGGGGCCTAATCTTAGCATTCTAAACCAATCCACATAAAACATTTTATTGCCAACTAAACTACTTAATGAGGAATTTTACATCTCTTTAAATTATAATAAATGAGAAAATCATTTGTTATAATTTGTAATAAAAATTATTTTACCAGCAGACTTTTCCCTTTTATATTATTAAATTATAATGTATGTGTTTAAAACACATAACTTTTGTCATCCACCTCTTGTTAAACTTTATTGTTGATAATTGTATCATAAATGAACTATTATCTCATAAACTCCCTGTATTACATGTTAAAGTGTTGTTAAAGAGAACAACAAAATTAAATTCTTCACTACAATAAATTATATGAGACAAAATACGATATTCAAGGATTGGTTAGTCTGCTGTTTTGTGGATTTAAATATATGTTTCACTAATTATTAACAGTTAATAATTTAACTATTGGAAATTGCAACATAACAGATTTTATTAAACTTTAAACGATACTAATTTGATAGAAATATTCCCTATTATAACTCACTTAAGTATATAGTTAAAGTGAGCCATTATTGATTGCTTTAAGGAATAAATTTGGATAGCTAAATCAATCTTAAACCAAACTATTTTGATTTTTTTGGGGTTGATTAGTATGTTTCAAAGATTGGTAGTATTTAGTGTTATCATTGTTTTCATTTTGTGTCGCATATCTCAATACAGTAATATATTGTAATATTTATTATCTACTGTAACTTTTAAACATAAACAAATCAATTATAAAACATAATTTATTTTAAAAAAGGCACAATATGTTTTAATCTTGTGTAGGCCTATATTTATTATGTTTTCTTTGTTTATGATTGACTTGTTACTAAATTATTCATTTATATAAACAAACCGTGATAAACTCTCCTTATCATACATAATCATCATGTTTTCATTAACAATTAATTTCTGCTCCATTTTGTTTTGTTTGATTTTTGTCTACCTGTACTTAATATTGAATTATTTATTTCAATTAACATTAGGTGATCCAGAGGTTGACCCAATTATAAAGCTTCAAATTTAATAGTTAAGATTGCATTGTAGAAAGACAATAGACTATTTTGCAATTTTATTTTTTGTAAACTTCAAACGTCAGCTTCCTTTATACATTATTGAAATTGTATTTTTATTTTCTTTACCAGTTTAAAATTGTTGCTAAAATATCTTTTGTTTTTCTTTTTTTACTGCAAAGATTCTTGAAGAATTATGTAAATTGTCTACATAAAAAAAGATCAGTATTTAATTATAATAACAAAAATCTCAGTATAACTATATTTATTTACATTTTACTCTCAGATCGATTATAACAAGAAATCACGTCAGTAAATGTATATAAATGATTTTTTTTGGAATATAATTAGTTATAAAAATAAATGTGATACCTAACCTTTCTCTGTCTTCCTGTTGGAGGATTTCCCAACCCCTCCCGCAGAAACTGAATGGTTCCTCATCACATAAATTCTCTTCCTTCGGCTGTCATTGAGAGAGTCATATTTAATACTAATTATTACATAGTATATTGAAACATAACTTGGGTGTTTGGACATTACTGGTATAACATTTTGGTTTGAGAAAGGTGGCTTTGATTAATTTGTATCCAAAAATTTTTGGGGTTCTTTACAATTTTCAAATTTCTTGCTTAGTTATGAAAAATGCTGAGACAAAAATATTTACCGTATTTGGCCTTTAAAGTTGGGTGGATATAACACTGAGATTAATCACATTTCTTTTAATGGAAACATTTGGTAGATTTGTTTGGTTATTTGGAATTTTAGATGACTTTCGCTAAAAGCGTTGAGTTAACAGGGCATAGAAACCAAAAATGTATGTTAAAGGAAGCTGACTCTTATGTTGTGAAATATCTGGACCGCTTACAGCAAATACTCAAAGTGCTAAGACAGAGATTGTTCATATTTAGCGTATGTATAGTTTAGAGATGTACAGCATATATAATGTAATTAGTTGCGATGTGATACAGTAGATAGAGAGGGTCGATGTTGCATAGCCGTATGTAAGCAACGATATCAATAGTGCATATATGTAGGTGTTCCCATATTATACATTCCAATTCACCAGTGTTTATGTTGAATCAAAATAATTTTAACGTTGTTTGAAATCTGTTATTTTCGACTTACAGGAAGTTGTAGCACTTAAGGTAGACAAAATATGTGGTTATGATTATTTGTATTTATTTTTCATCCAATAAAGCAAATATTAATTAGCTGTGTTGATTGATATATCCCTGAATTGTGTTGGTGGAAAAATATGGGTCATACGTTAATGGGCTGAATATGATGACCAAACATAAAGCCTATGTCCCATGACGCGTTGCGCGGCGCTCCACGCGACGGTGAAAATGCGCGGACTGGAGCGTCTGTGCGCGTTTAGGTCCGCGCAAGACCTGTCGCGCCGCGACACACGCCGTCTAGAGGCCGTAGTGGATAGTGTTAAAACCTCATAGAGACCTCCGTGCTACACTGTATTTGTAAAGATCTGTGTGATTGAATGATGAGTGATTGGGAAAGTGACGGTGAATTAGCGTGCGCCGCAGCTTGCTATCTATTGTTGAGCGAATATTTGAAGTTAAAATTGAATTCAAAGAAAAAAGAGAGGCGTTGGAGGATGGATGCATACAACAAAAGTTTCGCACCAACAATTGCTGAATAACTTGCAAGTTCAACGTGACACCTGTTCACCCGGTGGAAAAACGTCTCGCACTGGCCCAGGGCGTCCACGCTCCAACCCGCGCCTTTGATTTTTACCGACAACTCACGGGAACGGACACGCAACCCCGCTCCGCGCCACTCTTGCGCGGAGCACCACGCGCTTACCCTGTCCCACGACGCGAGGAGTGCCCGGTGGGACATAGGCTTTAATCACTAGTCCCATGGTTTATCCATAAATTCAATTGTTCCTACATTTGTTCACCTTTCTCCCTATAAAAAATCTTAAAACAAGTCTTTTCTGGGCAATGCTTTGTTCAGAAGAGGCCCAATAAACAAAGAATCCATCCATCCCGTCCCCAACTTCCACCTGAACCCGCAACAGTAAATTTTCGGTAGGCCTCACCTCCCAATCAAAGAAGTCAGAGAAGTTGGTAAACTTATCATGAGCTGCTCAGTGCTCACCTGATCTCTGTGCTGTCAGCTGAGCCTATTTAACAGTGATCACCATTCATCTTCATCCGGGTTACCGGGTAATGTGGCTTTGGAGGCAGGCAGCATATTTACAAGTAAAATTTAAAAAAATATTTACCGTATTCAGGTAATTTTGTTTTTGTGCATATGAACGCATGGTTGGAATTTTGGAAATGGAAGTAAATTACCTGTGTAGGTTTCAAACTAAGATAAGCTGTTTCTTGATCTTCGTTCATTTATTAAGTAAAAATAGAACAGCTGGATCTTATATTAATTTCTTTCCCATATTTTCGTTGCAATTTGGAATTGACTTTTGGTTATTGAAGTAGACATTTCATCTGTATGGACCAGCTGTAGCTTATTTTTTTTTATTTAAAAGATCATTGTTTAAAATAGACACAGAGTGTGCTACAGTCTGAAATTTGATTTTCATGCTTGATTTTTGTTACATGTGACATAACACGCTATAGTTCACAAGAAGCTGTACTTGCCTATCAGTTAAATTGGTTTTAAAATTTGGTATGTTTGACACAAATGAGTAGGCACCTAATTTACATTAAGGCCCCTATTAGAAGAGCCTATAATCCAATCAGGCAAATGGAAATTTGCTTAGTCTGCAGGTTTGGGGGTATTTTGTTTTAGAAACAAACTCATTCTGTGTACTGATATAATTGGCCCCTATTAGACGAGGTAGCCTGGCGACGTCGCCAGCGACAGTAGTTGGCGGCACTGGCCACCAAACCTATAAGTAGCCAGTTGAGTAGCTAGAATTTTACCGCCGTTAACTCATTTTGTTATTAGTGCTTGTCTTGTACTTGTACTTGTTATGAGCGGTATGTTTACAGTGATTAATGTAATGAGTGATTAGGAGTATCTTCTCCTTCTGTTACTTCTGAAGAAAAGGAGGCAAAGGAAGAGAAAAATATACGGTCATCCAATGCTTAGTGCAAGAGAATCGAACGGGTTATATTCAACGATCACATAATATACATTTTATATATTATGTTTATATTATATATTATTATTTATATTATGTGCTCGTTGGTTATATTACACCCTTTTTTTATGAGCTCTGAGCGGACAGTACAAAATTTTTCAATTATTTTCGTATGTCACAATCCAGTTTCTTCAAGTTGTTAGGTCTCATAAAGAATAATATAGACATTTTATCAACTGAAGTGAACAATTCACCCACTCACAACACAACAGAACGCAACACAACAGTGTGCAAGTACCCCCGTGATATGAACTGACCGAGTGGCGACGTGATACTGGCGACCTAGTGTGAGGCCCCCCATACACGTAACGATCGGCCGGCCGGCGAGGGCCGGAAGGCAACAGTTTGGCCTGTGAAAGGAGGGTCCCCATACACGCAACGATTCGCCTGCCGGCCGGACTGAAATTTCTCCGCCTAGTGGCAAGTGTGCAGTCAGTTTTCGTATGGCAAAAACTTTTTTGTTAACCTGCTATAAGCTGGATCTCCCTGTTGTGGTATGCCTTGGTTTTGACTCTCCGCCGACATTCATGCTTTCTGTATTCTTCCGTGCCTGACCTTAAAAATGAACGTAAATAAAATAAAATAATGCTACTACTGTACTGTCGGCCTTCCGGCGGCCTGCCGGCGACGCCATACACGTAACGATCGGCCTGAAGGCGGGGGTTGGCCGGACGACGACTGATGGGAATCCCATTTTCCCATCAGTCGTCGTCCGGCCAATTTGGTCGTCCGGCGGCCGGACGACGACCCCATACACGTAACGATCGGCCGGCCGACGTGGACTGTTCAGGCCGGGCCGGCCGGCCGATCGTTACGTGTATGGGGGGCCAAGCTCCATATGCTACAACGCAGCGTCGCCAATATGGGTAGCCAGTGGCTACCACAGTGGCGACGAGGGTAGCCAGTCGGTCACCAAAGTGTGGCTACGTCGCTGGCTACCCTCGTGTAATAACATCCATAAGAATCAATGACCCTTGACAAGCTGAGTAGCCAGTTTGGTCGCTGGCGACGTCGCCAGGCTACCTCGTCTAATAGGGGCCTCCCTCCTTAATATCAAATTTTTATTCCCCATTTAAATAGAATTAGTTAAACGAGTACTTAGGTTTGCTACAATAGGGAGTGTAAAAAAGTGTTTTTTGTTGTGAAATGTCAATAGTTTAGTAAAAAAATTAATGTGTTTTCCAAATTCGATCAAAATATGTTCATAAACAAGCAAACTACAATAGTTATAGTTGATTCATTCTCCATAAGAATAACATGGGAGTTTTAAATTGATTTTTTTTTTAAATTTTGTCTGTAACCATTAGGCGCACAATAACGCTTCAATATACTAAATTATTTGTTTTTTTAAGCTCTAAAAAATAGGTTTGAAAGAAATTGTGAAATATTGTGTTTTTATAGTCAAAAATGGGAAAACCCTATTTTTACCCCATATAACCCCCCATAAACGCCCGTTCCCATAGTCCGATCATGCTGGTTCGCGAACTCGTTCGAATAAATGTAGTTTTACACGTTTATACCAAATTTCATCAAAATCGGATGCTAAAACTGTCAAAACCATTAACATGAGGATGGAATGTCTTGTTGTACCAATAGACGAAGATACTATAAACACCAAGAGAAAGTATAGTATTGTTTATGAAAAACCACGTACATTTCCATAAAGGCTAATCTCTATCCGTAAACTAAGGAGATAGTCGATTTAATTATTTCATACATGCTTCTTGCTTGCACTATCCGACAGTACCACAAGGATTATTGTCAGTAAAGCAGCATTTGCATGTAGTTCACTCTGACCCCAACAGATTGTGCTAAAAGCCTGTCTATTGGCCTATTAGGATTTTGACCGTATGAAACATGGCCGTAATATTTGTATCAAATATTATTTTAATTATTAGTAAAAGTGCGTCTTATTCTTTTGTTATTTGTTTTATATCATTCTAGCTGGTGTTTAGACCACAATTTATTTTAAATCTGTATAATACTACTACGAAACAGGTAACTACAACTATAGTTATCTCTCAATAAGCTGTTGTTGTTGCATTGTTGTCTCGTTCTATCTATCTCTTCTATTATATGACGGTTCTGTTGTAATCTATCAAAGTATTGTGCTTTTTTCTTTTTTTCTTGTTTTGTTGTTAGAAATCGATTCCATTCCCATTCATACACTGGTTCTAGGTAGGCCTATTAACATAAATTAAAAGAAGTAGACATGTAGACATATTATGTCAATGACCGTGCCTAACCTCAAAATGAACGTAAATAAAAAATAATACTAGTATAATATATAACTAGTGTCCCTGTTGATATTTTTAAAAGATTCGACCATAAGATTATGGAAATATTCAAGATGTACATAACAGAATATATCAATTTATCCAGGTTCTCTCGCTTTTTTCCATTGTAATATTTATGCCAACCTAAATTCAAATAGTAAATATGTATTTCATTTTAACCAAGTCAGTTAATGTTTGTAGCAAACTGTTAAATTAGCAAACTTATTGACTGTTCAAAATTAACGTATGTTCTTCTTCTCACATTTTATTTCTGCCAACAGCTGGAGTTGTATAAAAATATTTGTTTCCCATGTTAATCTTATGGAGAAATACGAAACTTTAAAGGGCACCAGGGCCTCACTCTCTAATTGTTTCCCTAAAAAGAAAGCTTCCTGCACAACTTCACGTTACGCTCTTTCCAATGACACCAAAAGCATGCCATTCGGTTCAGTAGTTTCGGAGGGTAATTGTCACAAAATACCTGCTTGCGTATTAAATAAATACTAGAGGTCGTCCAGCGGCCGAAAACTCGACCAAAAATATGTAAATGAAATTAAATGAAAAAATTAAAATTATGTGAAATGAAAAATTATATACAGGGTGATTGATATAAGTGTGCCAGCCGTTTTATTCGAACCCTATAAGAGATATCAAAAAAAGTTAAATGGTAAGTGCCTTGGATTTTTTATTTAAAAAATTATAGTCAAGCCAAAAAAATTATTTTAGCCGCCATTTTTCCAATATGGCCGCCAACTTTGATTTTTCTTATAGAACACCCTGTATTTTATGATGTATTCTGGTAGAAAAAGTA